AGTTTCAGAAAATTATTTTCTAATAAATGTAAAGTTAACAGCAGGGAGAAATTTTTTTTGCCTGTATTGAGTTTGAGCATATTATGTATTCTCACTTTTGGGGGGCAGTATAAACAATATTGAAGAAAATAACCTGTGATTTAAAAGTTAAGTATTTGGATACAAGGAAGTAAAGATAAAGAGCGCACCTTTTCATCTCTTCCCCAACCCTCATGAGGAAATAATTTGAATCCACTCTAAAAGTAGCAGACGACACTCTTTGTCAGGTTTTTGTAATGATGGTATATTTATTCTAGAAACAGAGAGCTGTGTGAAGCCTATCTGTGCAGGAGGGCATAAAGAATACTTTTCTATTTCCTGACCTTTGGAAGTTTTCAAATAGTAACAAAATATTTCATTGTTTTTATCCTAAGTTATACTAGTTTTTTTTTTTTTAACACAGGCTTCTTTCTTTTGCCAGACCCAGATGTGATGTGATTTGGTTACTTAATCTGCTATTCTCAAGCCTAACAGATTCTCAGTAGGACTCTTGCCATTTCGTTGCACACAGACCCATTAAGTTGAAGAGGTCTTGGGCAAGTCCTTCCTCTTCTAATAGTGGTAACTACAATGCTGAGAAAACCTGTAATTTTTCAGATTTGTTTTTCCAACTCGCAGATTTATTAGTTCACCCATGTTTTTGGTAGTACACAAACTGTTTCAGTAACAAGCAAGTACCATTTAGTATGATGCAGAAATAAGGCCAGTGATTATTTATTGATGCAGAAATAAGGACAATGATCATTTATTAATGATACAGAAATAAGGACATGTATTATTTAACATATTTAAAACCCCTACTTATTTAGTGCTTGCTTTGTCTTTAATACTGGTGTAACTACCCCTTTTACATGTACTCAGTAATTCATTTTTTTCTTAAAAGTGACTGACTATAAGAAACTTATTCTTCTCATTGTGCAGATGAGGTAACCGAGGTTCAGGGGATTCAGTGACTTGCCCAAATACATTCAGCAAATGCAACACTGAAGACACAGTTTAGGTCAGGCCTTCTGACTGAAACTCGGTCAATTTTTGTCCATAATGCTTCTTAATAAATGTTCTTAATGATGCATATTGCTAATATTTTCAGAAAAAATGTGAGATGCACAAGAATGTAGTCTGTAAGAGCGGGCTTTTTCTGTACTTTTGTCTCAATTGTTTCTCCCTTTCTCAAGTCCTTAGGGCTTGGACTGCAGATACTGGCATTGTTCCAGCCTCCTTAGGTAGATGCCACGAGTTGCTGGAATTGTTGGTGTTGTGTGGACTTGTGCTGCCTAGCTCTCATCTGAGATTGTACTTACTCATTTATTCACTCCTTTGTTCTGCAAATATTTACTAAGCAACCAACATGCGCTTGGCAATGTTCTAGGCACTTGGATTCACAGGAAATGCCTGTCCTTTCTGGAGTTAGAAGAGCACCATTCCTCCTCCTCAACTCCATGACCTAGACTTAAGGAACATATTTTTTAAAAGATTTTATTTATTTATTTTTAGAAAAAGGAGAAGGGAGGGAGAAAGAGAGGGAGAGAAATATCCGTTGTGGTTGCCTCTCATGTGCCCCCTACTGGGAACCTGGCCCACAACCCAGGCATGGGCCCTGACTGGGAATCGAAATGCTGACCCTTTGATTCAGAGGTGGACACTCAGTATATGGAGTCACACCAGCCAGAAAGGAACTATTGTTTTGTTTTGTTTTAAAGAACCTTCCTTTTTTGTGTTTTGCATTATTTACAAAAATAAAATAATGAAAAAAAACACAAAGAAATCATCAAATTAATTGCAATTATTGCTCTATGGACAAACATAACCAACCTGTAAAAATTGTTGGATTTCAGACAGTGCTATTTTATAGCTTGAAATTCCCATTCAAGTACAGAAGAATATATTCAGAACAAGAAAGCCCCTGAGAGGTGTCCATGAACAATGTTCAGAAGCATTGACTGTGTGACAGTTACGTGTCACCTCCACCTGTAGCTGTGGTTTTACCTGTGAGTTCCTTCTCATCTCCACCCGTAGATACGGGCAGCTAGACAATTCTCTCCATCTGGGTTCTGTCTGACTCCATTCCTCTCCTCAAATGCTTGATCATCTCCCCGTATACCTCAAAGTTTGACACTTGTCCATTCCTCCTCATTGTGGATTGGTCTCTTCATGTTGTCAGAGTCCTTATGTTAAGGATACAGCTTGGGTCTCCCTGAGAGGTTACTCATATGTCAGTATCTTAAGCATAATCTTTCTGTATCCTCAGCTGGCTTATTGGTTATGTTGTTTGAGCCATTATTTTATAGAATTTTATAAGTCTGTTATTTAGAATGGTTATTCTAAATGTTATTCTAAATCATTCTAAATAATAATAATAATTCTGTTATTTTATAGAATTAGCCAGTTGTGTTCAAATGTTGGCTACACCAAAGACGAGGCTTCTTTACTGCTTATAGTTACTGATAATGTTTTCAGCTAATAGGTCTGCAACTATGTATTAGAGTATTTTCCACGAATTCTCTGTGCCAATTCAAGCCAGGGGATTGCTGACTTGAATTATAGAATCACTGCTGGGTTTGAGACAGAACATCAATTTATGTGCAAGATGTTAATTTGCGTGATTGAATGACTCTCCTTCAACACTGCCAGACAGTACTAGGAAACATTTTCCTTCTGAGCGGTTTTGTTTTTGTCTCAGAGTAATATATATTCTCCCTTCAACCCCCTAACAGATAAAAACTACAGTTAAGAGCTACCTGATGCTGTGATGTTTAAATATTTCATACATACAAATTGTTATAACAGCATTTTCATTCAGCCTTATCATTGCAGGTTATTTCCATTTTCTATCTGCTTTTAAGTGCATCTTAGAGTTTGCCGTGATTATCATTTATCTTTCCTCTGCAGTGATTCTGTACTGTTGGAACGGGATTTATGTACACCAATTTTATAAGGAAATGATGGATATTTGGCAAAACCCAGATAAATGTTACATCATTTCTTTTCATCTGCAATAAATATTTTATAGCAGTTCTTTGTTTTTACTGGCGATTAACTCAATTCTACATTTAAATGCAAAAAGCATGATGGCTTTTACTCTTCTCTTTGGGATCTTTGGCTAGGTTTCCAGTTATCTTCCAATTTTTATGAGACTTGATCCCCTAATCAGTAAGCTTGGTTTAACAATTAATCTAAAACTCTGTCAAGTCAGGTGAGAAACATTTCTTTGACTGGAAGACCTGCATCTGCTTCCTAGAAGTCTGTTGCCTTCCAGGTCCACCTGGGCCTCTCATACTGCTGCTAGAATCGTAATTCTTGGGTCACTTAGTCAGCCTTTTTACCCCCATACTTTCCGACACTAAATTCTGTCTCTTACTTAACCTCTTAAATATAATGTTTTCACTTTTTTTCCCGTTCTCAGAGACGGCTTTATGTTTCTCTACCATCCTATTTGCCTGAACTATAATAATAGCTTTTTAATTCTTCTGGTGTCCATTTCAAAAATATGGATACATGAATATGCAAATTTACATGCAGATATGATATCTTCCAGCTAACTTCAGTTGTTGCCCATCGTGAGGCTTAACAGGCGCAACAGGTTTCTTTGTGGTCTTTTTCTTCTTGTCTCTTATTCAGCTGTGTCTGTTTTTCCTCCTTCCCCATTTCTCTGTTCTTCATCCCTCTTGGTCTGCTCTCAATTCTTTGGATGCCATGTTCTCACACCTTCAAATCTGTGTACATAATGTCCTTTTGCTTGGTAAACTTCCCTTACATCTTTTGAGTTCTAGTTGAAACATTACTTCCTTAGAAAAACTCCCTTTGATGTTTTCACACTCATTAAAGTTCTCTCATAATATGCTACCAGCATATCCTGTATATCTTTTTTTCACTTCTCATTACCTGTGCAAGTATTATTATTATTTTTATCTAATGTCTGTTTTTCCTGATTGTAAGTTCCATCAGAGCCTAGGTTAATTCAGTCTTGTTCACTCATAATATCAGCCACAATATAAATTCTAAGTAAATATTGTTTAAATAAGAGGATGAATGAGTAAAAGATACCTTTGTTAGCTGCTTTTAAAGATGGGTTCTTTTTTGAGAGACATTTCTCCCTTTTATGTATCTGTTGAATTTTCAGTTTTTTGACATTTTCTCTTGATAAGAGAAATGTATAATTAAAAACATGCACTAATTATGACTAAATGTAAAAAAAAAACTACTTGGGATAAATGGCCTTATACAAATTGGTTATTGTATTTGCTGAGAGATGTTCTAATTTCAATTTGCTTGTTATACACTTAGTTTATTTTAATGCATTAAAATAGCATTAGTGTTTTTAAGGAATGTGTTTAGAATGGTTGATTGATTTTTATATGCTTCTGGTTGATGACCAGTTTTTGTTATATATGTCTAATTTACTGAAACCTTTGTCATTTTCTTTACAATGAAACTGCCTAAATATATGTTTAATTGAAATGTTGTTGTGTAACCATTATACAGATAAGTTTTGACTTACCAGTATGATTCTAGCCAGTAGACACTTATTCTAAATCATAACACTTCAGCAATCTTCATTGGGAAACTAATTTTGTACGTTTTTTTAGAGCTTAATTTAGTAAGAGCTAAGCGAAGTCTTTGAAAGACAAGATGTTTGCTCTCCCAGAGCGTTCAGTGCGGAAGCTGGAGAAGCTCAATGCATCTGAACCTGGCAGCTCCGCTGAGAACTCAACACTATTAATCATTAAACAGAGTTTTTGTAATATGTCAGAGGCTTATAATTTTGTTCTATTCTAAAACAATGTTTGTAAGAGGAAGATGATTTCAGTTTCTGTGTTACTGAAGCTATATAAATTTTAAAATCACACGTGATGACAAAAATAGTTCTGGTCTCTTCAAAAAACAATCTTTATTTAATTAGAGTAATTGATAATCTTTTAAGTGGAATTAATTTGCATGACTGCTTTGAAATGATAAAACAGGTATCTACCTGGCAGGGGAGATGCCATGATCACAAAGGTGGTTTTCTTAGGGTGAGGCTGACTCATTCCCTGTTCTTGGGATGTGTGGCCCCCTGTGATTTCCCCAAATGTGGGAACCTGCAATGCATAGTTGGTGGTAGTTTGTGTTCATGCTCTCCCCTGAAAAGAATGAATGAATGAATGAATGAATGAACAAATAAAAATAAATCAAATTATAAAATAAAATAACAGAATTATAATTATAACAAAATAATTAGATGGTGTCTTAGGGTTCCTTTCAATTCCTTTGACAAATTATAATTTTTAGTTTTATGGAATAATGTTTTGTCCAGAGTAAATGTGTTACTATGTGGGATAAGTCTTGAAATCTTGGAATGGAAAAAGGTGATTTTTAACATTACTTAAGAATTCTAAATAAGGATCTCATTTCATTTCTCAATTTCAGAATTAGTTTACAAATAACTAAAATTTTTACTGTAGATTAATATGATCTCAGGAATTTTTTTTCCTATATAGACCTTTGGAGTCTTTGCTAGAGTGAGGAGCGAATCTAAGGAAACTCTATTTCACAGATAAGAGGAAAGGGCACATTTTGGGGACTTTAAAAAAAAGATTATAATGTGAAGCCTACTATGGTTTCTATGTCTCAGAGCTAGCTAGAATGATGTCTGATAAAATCTATTTCATCTAAGTAATAAAGCAACTTTATCTCAAAAAACTGCAGGGCTGAATGTATCTATCTGTGAAATGTAGCCCAGATACTGAAAAGTTTAATGGTAATTCCTGAGAGTTGGCTTTTTGAAAGTCCCTTGGTAATTTGAGAATGTAACTTATTCTGCTGCCCTAGCAAATTTCAAAGAAAAGCTAAGTTTGGAGGAAATGTTAGCATCTGTCCAAATCCTTTGTCAATGTAGGATTGACAGGGAAAAAGGTGTTTGCGGTTGGAAAAGGAAAGAATAGAAGAATTGGAATATGCCTTTTGAAAAGGAGGAGCAGATAAGTTTAGGCGAATGAAAGCTGTAACTGAGGCCACTTTTTTTATTGTCAGCCCATCTCTTCCATCATCGGACGGAAAAGCACAAGATTGTTAATAACCGAAAGGACATACCAGTTGATTCCTGAAACTGAGTATTACAGTAAGAATGAAAACATATTTTTATTATTTCAAAATTTCTTGAGATAATATGGAATGAGTCTGACCACTCTCAGTTAAAAGTGCATTCCATGATTTGCAGAGAAAAAACTGACCCAAGCTGCTTCAGTTCTGTGTTACAGGAACACTGTTCATTTACGAAGCCCTTCTCTTGGAATCATTTGCCCATTAAATCACTAATTAATAATTAACAATAATAGTGCAAAAGGAAAGAAAGATATAATCATCTAGAATAAAGTGAGGAAATACACATTTAAAATTTTACTGATTTATCTTTCAATTTTGTAAGCATTGTACTCTTTAAAACAGAATTCTTTCTATGCAGCTCGTCTTCTTTCCTCCTTTCAACTGTCTCTTCTTTCCTCTTTCCCTCTCCCCCCCCCTTTTTTTCCATTTTTCCATCAGTTGAGGGTCATACCTTCAGAGGTAAAGAATATGTTCTACATACAGGTATTGAGATTACAGTGATTGTTGTATAGCTTTGTAATGATTCTAAAAAATATGGCATTGTATATTTTAAATGACTGTATTCTACAGTATACAAATTATGTATCCACTAAGTGGTTTTTAAAATGAGAAATGCCAGTCTGAGGTTAACTGAGGTGACTGCAATCCGTACAAGGACACTAGTCTGCTCTCAGATTGATTACAGTAAATCACTGAACTAGACACTCAGTTTCAGGACTCAATTGGTATGTCCTTTCAGTTCCTTAATGATCTTGTTCATTTTAGTCCTGTGATAGAACAGATGGAATGACAGTCAGAAAATTGGCATTGGTCTCAGCTTTAATTCACCTGAATCAGTTGTGGGTTTTCTGCCCTACATCCTGGGAATGAAAACTGTCAGTAATAATTCAAGGATAGGCCTTGCCCTTTATTGAGACAGACCACAGGACAGCAATAACTTGAATATATAGTATTCAACTGAAAGGTGAATAAAATGCACAAAAATTTTACTTCAGTTAATCAGATAGAGTTGGGTAAATATTTTTTAAACATTTGTTTGTAAAGTTTAGTAAGTTTTATTCATTCTCAAGTAAATGACAAATCACAATAGTAAAGACTCATTTTCTTTTTTAAGAAGTGCTGTAATTTCTCTATTTCAAGAAGATTTGGGTACCTGGGTAATGTTTTCTGTATGCATCAGAAAAATTTTCAGAGTAGTCAAACTCTATTGCAAACTGGGACAATGAGAATTCTGCAATCAGAATATATGTAGCATTTTAAAAATACAAGGTTGTTTTATTTTTATTGTCCTGTCAAGCAGGGCCTATTTGGTTGCCTTTGTTGCCTCATCTCACCCATTATGACAGGAAATTCCTTTCCCATTATCTCTTATAACATAGCATGGCTGCTTTTTAATTGACTGTGAATGTTTCTCAGGGAACACTGGGAGCTTTCAAAGCATGGCTCTTTAAATTATAAAGAATTGTTTTGTTACTTTGGCTCAAACTAGTGCTATCTGCTAGAATTACCCAACAGCTTGTCACTTACTTCCTGTGCCAGAAGTTGTCTGTGTGCTCTAGATCATTTGAGACGCTGAGGTGATCTTGGTTATCAAGAAGGAAGATGCACTTTAACAATTTTTTCCCCAGTGGTAACTATAGGGTATAATTTAGTCCAATTAGTTAGCAATAGTAAATATGTTACCGAACAAGAGGAGGAGGTCCGAGGGAGGGGCAATACAATATTTGGCCCATCCAGGGATGCCCAAAACTGCTATACAACAGGGGCCCCTCCCGAAAACCAAAATACTAAAATCTGCTGGGCCCTTCTGTCCGCCGCCAATTGGAAAGACATCTCTTAAAGCCAGAGATTTGTGAAAAGGAAACAAAATATTTATTTAATACTATTCAGGCCTAATGCCACCACTAAAATATCAAAGTCCTTTATGTATACACCTACACCCACACAGCGCTCCCTTCTCCCATTGTCCCAACTCCGGGTACCGTAAATCAGGAAAAGAACACACGTCTGTGTTGCAGGCCGCTGGCACCGTCAGCTGTGTCACTGTGCAGGATCTCGAGTTAATCCAAAGTACTGTGGTACCCTCTCATGGTCCACTGGCAAGAGTCCTTTGTACCCAGTTCCAGTCAAAGTCTCTCTTGCTTTTTCAGGCCCCGCGGCCAAAAGGGGGCACCCCAAAGCCGCGTAGGCCTCTTCTACCAAAGCTGCAGGAGTCCGCACTCCACCAAAAGCATGTGGCTGTCTTCTTCACCTGGCTGCAGGGATCTCCATTCTGGCAAAGCTGCGTGGTTTTTCCCTTTCAACTGGGAAAGAGGGGGTCCGCACCCTGCCAAAACCACGTGGCTCCCTCTTTCACCTCACCAAGAGGGTGTCCTCACTCTGCTGAAACCGCGTGGCTCTCTCTCCATCTGGCCAAGCGGGGACCCTTCATGTCTCGGAGCCAGTCTTTTCCAAGCTCCCACACAGGCACTCCTCACTCAGGAGTGCAGACCTTAGTTACATCTTCCTGAGTCCAAGCCCTCTCACTCAGGAGTGCAGCCCTTAGTTACATTCTGAGTCCAAGCCCTTCTCACTCAGGAGCGCAGCTCCTAGTTCCATCTTGAGTCCTCCCAGTTCCATCCTGAGTCCCTGCTAGTTCCTTCTCCCTTCTCTCTTCTGCTCCAAACTTGGCCACTGCTATTTAACATATCTATGAAACCAGTTAAAGGTTATAGATATGTTAAATAACCATTCCTCCCGAGGTTAGCTCCAAAACTGTTGCTATGCAAAATAGCTCTCAATGGCCTGGCTCCATTCATCCCTTCCCCGGGGGGGGGGGGGGGTGAGGACATCTTATATGTCTCTCCAATATTTCTATACACTTTGAATTCTGGACACTTTTCCAAATCTTTTTTGGGGGGCCCCCCCTCGCTGCACCCTGCATCAAATATACACCAGTGTAAAATGACTAGAGATTAAAAATTACTTTAACTTCATTTGAAAATCCTGTTCTTTTATGAAAGATGAGCTTATCCAATATTAATGATAGTTTTTTAATGGAAGTTTGACTTCAAAGAAACACCTGTTTAAAATAGGAATTTAGGGTAGGCTTAGATGGGGGGAAGGCAGAAAACTGTACTTGAACAGTAGTTAAAATAAAAAAATATAAAAACAAATAAAAATAAAATAAGAATTTAAATATTCTTGCCCAGTCTCCCCTCCTCATGGGCAAAGAGTAGGTTTGTTCTTTTAAGGAAGAGCTTATATTTCATCTATTTTAGATTTTGAATCTATCAGTAATTTAAGTCAGCTGTACCCTTGTAAAAATTATGAAACTTTGAATATATGGCATCCAAACTAATGGACTTGTATTTTAACTTGGAATATTTGTATGTGTGTGCCTGTGTGTTTGTGTGTATTTCTGGAGGAATGTTGAAATTTATACGATAATGAAATGTTGATGTGCCAAGGTAGATTTTGCTAAAACATTTTTTACAAAAATTTAATATTCAGTAGATCAAGGGCTACTATCACCAGCCCTTTGTTGGTATGTCCATCTACAATCAATTCAATGTTTTTGAGTGTCCAATTAAATGTTTTTTGAGTGCTCAGCTTTGGGGTTAAAACTATACATAAGGCAGAGCTTTTGCAGATGAGAATCCTTCAGTTTAGTAGAGTGAAAGTGTGGTCGGTGGGAATCGGGTTTTTTTGTGGGATCACTGCAAGGACCTCTCCACCCAGGAGACGATGGTGTGGCAGGATGGTTCCTTAGTGCGGACGAAGGCTCCATCCGTGGTTCTTCTCCATTGGTCCCACAGTGGAAAAAGTCCAACTGAGTCTTGAGCAAGGCCAAAACAAAAGCCAGTGGCCAGAGTTTCTGCTTCATAGAAAACCTTAGTCTTTGGGATCCCACATATCGGCTGCAGCTCCAGCAGCTGCTAGACTCACATGGTTGTGTGCTATTGGGGAAGAAACCTCACAAACAAACCGGGTGTGCGCTGGTCTCAGAGAGAGAGCTGTTTCATTTCCCTCCTATTATATTAGTGTGGATTTGGGAC